AACATTTCACCCAGCGGTGCACAGATGCTAAATACTTGCGGATTATAACCCAGCAAGTTTGCGCTACAACCTTTTTTCACGTAATTAACCGGACAGTGCCATGTCGGGGACCAATGACCTAAAATATAATAAAGCAACCAAAAATTTTAAGAAACCTACCCCGTAATCTAACCACCCAGACCCCAGTACATCTTATAATACTAAAAATCGGGCAAACCTAAAGTAAAAGTAATTGGTGGAAATCACTGCTGAAGCTTAATGCTTCACCTACAACTCTACAACTACGCCGCGCAAACTCCTTTTAATCCTAATTTCCCATCGACTCAGCAAACACTACAGCACACTGATAACTAGAGGATCTGGCTCAGCAGATCTTCGCATCGATATAGCTAATTTCATCGTAAGTCACGATTTCCTGGCGCCACCAATTTTCGCACGCATATAACTCGACGGGACTGTACTCGGAGACCATTCGCCTACATAAAAATAAAAAAAATTAGGTAAAATCGTCTTGGATTTATACTACAAGTTTCATTCGACGACCTTATATTACTCTTTGGTGTGTTTAAGACAATATCAGGAATATAAAATCGAATGCATACAAAGGAATATTGTTAAAATTATTTGCGCTTGTTCGTAATTCTGCCAGTGGTGCCACAGATGGTTACATTAATATCAAAATAGAAATGTCAATCCTCAACGTTAAGCGTGCTAGGGATGTAATTCTTATGCAATAAAATGTGGTAACAATGGGATAAATGCGCAGATTGCTACAGAAAAGGAGAGGAAAAGAACGAAAAATGTAAGAAAAGTTAACTCCCGCGCGTATTGAAGGAAACAAGGCTATGCTAGTTTTCAACTCTATCGTGCTCGTTTCCATTTTATTGGAAACAATGCGAAAGTGCTACAGCGTGCATATTTCGCGGAATATACAACTAAGACTATCTACTTATAATGAAAGTTTCCATGTCATTGTGACGCCTTCGCTTGTTCTCGATTTTCTTTATTTATCCAAATTCAATTCCTTTCGTCCACATCAATGCATCTCAACACCCTTTCGGTAGTCATTTAATTATACTTTGTGAAACGTAATTAATTCAGAACCTGTTAAGTTATTCTGTGCGTGAGAACAATTACAGCTCGTTTCGATTTTAATTTTCCAGCGTAACTTCTTCAATAAAACAATAAAACTAATATAGATAGGAAGCTTATTTGTATTCCGAACGCATCGAGTGCTAAAATCACTTTGCCGTTGGGTGCGTGACGTAAACAGAAGTTAGATTTCGTGAGTTACAATGTCGATTACAGAAATTTCATACGGCACTTTGTAATTGGAAAATGTAACGCTTAAATTATTAAATCTGGGAGCAATTGAAGTTTTTGAATTACCCTATGCGGGGTTGTAACATTGCAGGCGGAGCACTAATCCCATTGTCTTGCGTTCTGCTGCAGACACAAATAGTCCAGCAAGTCTACAAATAATATATACGAGTAGCAATCATAACGCTGCTAAGATCACACATTTGACAAACTTGTTCGCCCTTCAGGGATTTTTCTTATAGCACATTTTAGTAGTTTGAGAAATTAAGCAGCCTAAAGCTCCTCCACAATTCTGAAGAATTAATCAGCTGAAAGAAAGATTGGCGCCCAGGGACAGATAAAACATACCACGCAACAAGCGATCGATTTAATTAGCTTATGTCAAATATTTTTTACCATCCGGTAATAATTGCGCTTTTCGATAAACATATGCACGAACTCATAAATCAAACACTAAGCTGATGATGCTTCTAAACTTAATTTCTTTCACTTCACATAAAAGTAAAACTCAATTTAAACGACACTGATTTTGTTGTCCGAAATTTATTCGTGTACTCTCCCCCACAGTCACCATCAACTCCATGGAAACCATGGTCAAAAATTCCAAGATCAATTTCTAAATAAGTATCGCCCATTTTGAAATTTTATTTATTTTAGTATCGCTAGGATGCTGAGAAAAAAATTATTTTTTTGATACACTTGAGAATAAATGAACGCCAGCGCACTATAGAAAATGACTTCGCTACTTGTCGCGCTACAAGAAACTTTGAAAGGTAAAATTAATCAGCATAAAATTCTGCATTAAACGACTTTGTATCTCTTACGGTTTGCGACATCCCATAGTGAAAACAAAAAAAAACCCTCTGTATATTGAATAATTCGAGGAAACCAACTTCTCCGGTGCCGGTTACACTTAATTCTACCCGCGTGCCTAACGCTTCGTGATCCATCGCTGAATTATCTACGGTGCTATCTCCCCTGAACGCGTCCCCACTTTCTTAATTTTGCAAATACACGTTCAAAATGGCTGCTAATTGGTTTCAGCGGCCATCTTGATTCGTTCAACCAATAGACTTCACCTTGTGTTACATGCGCTGTAAGCTCAGAAAAAGTAGAGATAGGCCGGTGTGGTTAATGGGTTCTCTTCTACGACTACTCGACAAAGTAAAAATGTGTAAGTAAACCGGATAGGCGCCACTTAGTCTTATAGTAAATTTAAAGAGAGAAAAAATACTTATGGAAGGGGAATCCTTGGTTAGGTCATGATAAAGTTGAAGGGTTAAAGAAGTTGAGGGGAGTAACATATGAACAATAATGATATAGGTATAGTTCGAGCTGTTATAATTGTATCCTAATTACTCTATAAATGTATAAAGAATGAAAAAAAAAATAATATACGCTTCCATTACAATCATTGCAACAAACTGAATACTAATCTTGTAAAAAAAAAAGACGAAGAAGATAACAAAGCGCACTAGAAAAAGACTCCGGAGCTAAAGTTTTCGTACTGAAGGGAGACGAAAAGTGACAGTACACAATGAAATGTCAAACATAATTTAATAATTAGTGGTTACCTCCAATATTTTATTCTTTCTGGTTCACGCACCACACCTTATAATCATTATACCGTTTTCCATATATCTGTTTGAATCTGATAGCTTCTTCTAAGGAGTTTTGTTTTAATTGATCACATCTGGGTATTAGTAAGTACCTTTTTGCATCCCCCTGCTGCTGAGTTCTAATCGGTGCAGGGGGAGTGTGGGACTTACACCTACTAAAACCTTTTGCCCCTCGCGTCTTAGTCGGATAACAGGATCGGGTATCTTGATCGCATTCTTTCTCTGCTGCTTCATTTTCTACCATACTTTAGCCCCTAGCTATATAATATTACTATATTGTGTGAAATGGCAAACGATCACTAATAGGCCACCCGCAAAACATCTGTCGAGCTAGCTTAATTAAACAAATAAACTTCCGGTATCCACTATAAAGCAAGATCCTAATGTTGACTTTAAATTTTATTAATCTGAAACACACAGTGCCTCGCTCAACCCCCGACAATACCAAAGAATTAACCAAATGGATTAATTAACACGACATAGACGAATAGACTGAGCACTTTTGGTTCGATTAAACACAGACTTAACTAATTGACAAATATAAAAATTTATTCCACAAAACATAAAGGAAATTAAAACAATACTGGAAGAAAAAAAGGCGTTTAGAGGCTGATTTTACACATACCACGCACGCAGGCAGTCATCATTGAACAGTTAAATAAAGAAGTCTTAATTACTTACAGTTTTTCAATAATCCAGTAAATCTAGTCGTAACAATTTTGCGATATTCAGGCGCACTTAGAACTGACACAATCACACGCTTCGTTTTCTGGATGATGATGACAAAATTGGATGACTTTTCGGACTTCACTATGGTATTCGAACTACGACTTTTTCTGTTAACGTTTTCATGAACCTTTACTAACACACTTTACGACGTTATAATTTAAGTCTCTGAATGCGATTACTTAACTTCTTCGAAACAACTTTTTTACAAATCACGATTGATTACGTAATTAACTAATAACTGTGTAATGAAACACACGCACTCAACCTTCACGAAATAAAAAAAAATCTCCGGTATTTAAAGGATCCACCACTTCCAACAAAAAATAAACTTTTCCTTTACGAATTTTCACATAAACTATCTTCGACAGAACGCATCGCCACTTACGCCGAGAAATGCGGACATGGTCGTAAAATACCTACAATTTCTTATCAGAACCGCCATGCGTATTAATTAAATTTCGTTTAACAATAATATTTCTTATCGCAAAGGACCAGATAAACCCTTTTATGAATCACACAAAATTCGACCAGATGCAATTTTCCTTTTTTTTCTCCTTTAATTATACAATATACCATAGTTTATTTAGCAACGATATTTTATAGGATTAGATTGTGTGTTTATTACAAAATGACATATGAGGCAGAATTCCAGCGATGTCTCCCCATACCTTTTTAAATTGAACAATTTACAAAAGCGATAAAATTAAAACGAAAATTTCGCATCTACACAACGTGGTAAAAGAAAAAACAGTTACTGAAATACAAATTCCATCGAGAGTATCAGACTTTGCGCTTATTCGGAGAAATCCGCCAGATTTACTTAAAAAAATTGAAATACCTCATACAAACAGGGTGACCCAACCTTATTGAAGGTGCTGAAACCAAAATATTCTCTGTGCGACGTAGTTTATTTATACAATATTAAATCTGCACTGCTACCAGGCGCTAAATTTTCGTTTTTAGCAACTACTTAACGATAAAAAATGCCAAATTTATATGGAAAGAGATAACAGGACTATCAAGTGTTTCACTATATCTATATGAAGTCATTTTAAATATAAAATCACGTTTGCAGCAATTACCAACTAATTGGAAGTTAATGACCAAAATCGTCAACTTTATGTGGAAAATCCACTTGTAACTGTCATTAAAGCCCCTTAATCGAAACCTTTCTTAATAATTAACGATGAATGAAATATAACCATATTTTGTAAGTATTTTCAAGGGTGTAAGAATTATTTCCTGGCAATGGAAAACTATTCTAATGACTTTTCTCTTTAACTAAATGTACACTTTTTGGATAACGCAATTAATTACGCACGTTTGTTGCAGGTCTCCTGGATCAGGCATCGTGACATTCATATTTTAACAGTAGGAGACTATACATACACCAGCGATCAACGATTTCAAGTCACTTATCATCGAGAAACCGACGATTGGACACTCCAAATCAAATGGGCCCAGAAAAGAGATGAAGGCATCTACGAATGTCAAATTAATACCCAACCCGTCATAAGCTACTTTGTACTTGTAACCATAATCGGTAAGTACATTCAAATGCAATGGAAGTAATTGTTACACTTTTGCATCCTCTTCACACGATGACTTATATGAACATGTTTATTTCAGAGACAGAAGGTATGTGAAAGAGTCTTTTGGATTGAACTCTCTATTACCCTCGTAAAAAATGACTTGTTTCATAATCAATTCCCGGTCAGATGCGGCCGATATCATCCGAAAATACAATAAATAGTTTGCATGAAATACCCACAAAATAAAATATATTATACCCTCTTGGTGATTCATTTATACCACCGAAAGCTTTCGATTCCGCTCGACTACGCTGCCAACTTTTAACGGAATTAATCACCTAGGGTGTTATCATACAAAAACAGAACACTTTTGCGGTAGTAAATACAAGTTTCGAAAGTTGTTATAGTATAGCGGTAATGACACCGATCTCTTTAGCCATTGTTTTAAAGTATTTTCCTTCGCCTCCCGTATTCGCGAAGTGGAGATTGCTGAAAAGCGAACAAATTAAAATTTTGTCGAGTAATCTCTACTACAAATGAAAATAAATTTCATTAAATGTTATTAATAGTCTATACTGTAATCTATAATGAATCCAATCTTAGGTGTAAGTACTTGGGAAATTACTGCTAAGTTTCCCGGCGATGAAATCCGCTCCGAATCGTGAAAGTCAATAGGTAACTCGATAAATTGAACTCCTTATACAGGGTAAGATCTTATACGTCTTCGTACAATGTGTGTTACTGGGAAGTTTATTAGTAGTTTATTCGGAGTTTTTAAAAAGTAATGATTCACTTCACTATCTTTCAATGGAAAAAATGCAGATACACTTCAAGAACACCGAATTCTGCAAGAGAGTGTTCCTGGTAGTTGGATACGGCAATATATACAAAAGGAATGATATTGTGTCGCAGGACACAAAATAAGGACACAGAAGAAAGACTGTAGTGACATTCGTGTTTCTTGACAGCCATCACAAAGCAACGATAATTTAAAACAAGTACATATTGTGCAGATAAACCGGATTTTTTAACGCCCCTACGCCCCCTATCGCTTTTTGTGAGTAACATCTTCCGACACTCTGTTTTTGACAAATTCGTACTTAAAATTTTTACCCTGCCTAGTTTCAATAGCTCTCCTCATTCCAATCTCGAGATATTCGCACTGCAAGTTTTGACATCACCAATGCGTATATTTCTACCATACGTCCCAATCGCCCTTTGCAAGTACCCTCCTCCGACAATCCGCTCTTGAGATATAAAGAAATCTATTCGATTACGATAAAGGGTCGAGTTAGTAGAAATTAATTCCCTTCATTAGAGTACCATGAAGAATAAAACCAGATCCGTCTCCCACTCCACGCCCTATTTTAATAAGGGGCAAGAAAGAAGGGCGGTAATTGGTAAAAAAGTTCCTTTTGTTGAGACCTTTAATTTACCATGCAAGATAAAACCAACTTTTATCCCGTGCCGCCTTTGGCCACATATGCAAATGCAATTTATTTCGTTGGGTAACTTTTTATGACAAACGTGTAGTGTAAAAATATGTGTAGAAAATTCGTCTATATGTTCAATTGTTACCCAAAGTTTACATAAAGGTCGCCCATAGTGATACTTTCTCTGAAAAATCGCACCAGTTTGGTTCCATCATAGTTACTTTTGCTTTTGATGAGATGCACTATTTTTTTAAATCCGCGTGGAAGGCTGGAAAAATCTGAAAGTCGCGGGGAATTTGCGTCTGTGTGTGCTGACAGCACTGGAAAATTTCTATGCCTGTGCGTCGACTCCATTTTCTCCCTCCGCCTATGCGAGAAATAAAAATGCGACTGCAATTCATCGCGAGTTGTGTAGTGTCTTAGGACGTTATGCCATGGCAAATGGTTTCTCGTTGGTGCTATTCATTCATTGAAGGGAGAACAACTACATGAACAACATTAAGGGACGAATAACGAGGCGTCCGCCCTTCCACTTGTCGCGCTCAAACTATTGTCGAAAGTAGATAGGAGGCCACCTGTGCGAGATAGTCACCTGACGCGCCAGACGTGACGTTAAAGCGTGGTCTAAACTCATTGAAGGTCATCGTTGTTGTACAGGTCTGTTAAAAAGAACGGGCTTATTAAAAACAGGTCTGTTCATCAGAAACAGGTCATAACAAACAGGTCTATTCATCAGAAACAGATCTATTTTTATTTAACCGATCTGTTTCTGTAAAACTTACCTGTAGCCAAGACTAAACGTAGTTTAATTTATTTACATCGCTCCAGAGAACTACAGATATCAGTTCCTTTATCTCTCTGCGTCTTAAAGTTGTTACGTGCACTTTATGTGTAATGAGTCACTTTGTATTTTGTCGTTTATTTATGAACAAAAGTGCAAAAATACCTTACCATGTACGTAAAATGTACGTACATTAACCGTAAGTGTACGCGAAATGTACGTCCGTAAATCCAGCGCTGTACGTACTATGTGTTTGCAATGTACGTACTTACGTGTTATCTGGGTTGTTAGGATAAGTTCAAGCGAAAAAGGTAAATGTTTCGTAATCCCTAGTCCAAAAAGCGAAGAATAGGACGGGATTAAGGAGTTTTAAGGCTCAGATTGTGCCGGATCGGAATACAAAGCAGGATTTGGAGGCAAAGAAGCGCTCGAGGAAATTGTACGAAACTTTGTTAGGAAAATAAGATTGTGTGGTTATGGACGACGAAACCTACTACCTGGCAGTCTTGTTCCTGGGCACAAATTCTATACCCAAAAGAATGTAAAATCACGAAGAGGTCCAAATTCACTAAAAAGTTCCTTGTATGGCAAGCAATCTCCAGTTGTAGACTAAAAGGTGAACCTTTCGTTACTTCTGGGACCATGAACCAGCAAATTTACCGGGATGAGTGCCCACGGAAGAGACTACTGCCTTTTCTGGAGCAGCACCAAGTAAATTATCTATTCTGGCAAGATTTTAGTGTCCGGACTTTTACGTGTTCAACCTTTTCGAAACAAGGGTGCCAAGGGTAAATTGTATGCCTTTTAGGAGATTCCTTTTCATACTCGGTACGACATTTACCTTGAAATTTTCGCTGACTTTATTTCTTCCATCCAAAACACGCATGTTTAGGCCGTGTGAAATCCGCCATTTTAGGTTTGTTTGTTACAGTCACTCGTAGTGGCGGAATTCAGTACTACAACAATGCGTCAAATGTCAATGAAACTTGAAGTATTTTGCTACAAGATGACACCTCAATCACATGTATAAGTTTTCAATAAAAGTCTATATATAAGGAAATTTGTAAAGGCGTTTTGTAATTACACTGTACATACCCAACGGAGCTTAAATGCTTGTAAATATATCCGCAAAATGCGTGTTCAATGAAGCGTATCAGTAGTACTACATAAAAGGGAATTTCACAGAAATATCACATGGCCCAGTAAATCCCTTTAAGTCACAATGCAACAACTCTTGTACTTCAGCTTACTTTGCGTGACCTCTAGCGGCAGAAAAAGGAATTTCCGATAATCTAAACTATAACGAATTTACAAAAAAGTATGCAGATAGCGTAAAGAATATCTGAAATGAATATTTAAGTTAAAAAGTACATCAATACAACTAGGCAAATAAAGGCGATCGCGATTTTCCTACGAAAACCCCATAACCCGCTATTAGCGGAAGTGTGATAGACTGAGCCTATAGTTTCGTTTTTATTAGTCACTTCACTGTGTGCTTACACCAAAAAGAAGGGGAGTTGATACACTTCTTATTGTTTTACACCGTGGTGTAAACGTTAAGCATTCAGTAATCGTAAAACGGTATTTTTTCGATTATAGTAACGTTAGTGCTACATCACCGCCACATCCAAGTCATTTCCTACTGGCAATAAACTGTTGTTTTTTCAAGCAACCACTAGCGTCCTTAATGGAATACGCCTTTTTCTGTATTTTTTGCCAAAGGATCTCAATTACATTTCAGGTAAAGATTTTTCTTATCAACGGTAGGTGTTGCCGGTGCTGGTAGTTCAGAACGTTTTCCATCCCCTGCATGATCGTTTTTTGGCCCACACCCTTTTGCATGTGTGTCGGCGTGTTGTTCAGTGTATAATACACGTCATTTAGTGTTTCAAGCATAGAACCCAGTTGTGCATTTAATCCTTGAATGGACCTCTTTTGCCATGGTGTTCTGACGCGATTAAGTGAATCACTTCACACTTTTATCATTATTTATTTATTGTCCCCCCTCGACAGGCTTTTACCCAATTGCACAAAGCTTTTTAGAGGCACCCCTGCAGTAGGTCCGATATTTAGCTTACGAATTAGGAAAACTGCAGGAAAACCTAATTTGAAGTAACCGACAGAATGCCCACAGATGAAAAGTTCTTACCTCAGCCCAGGTTCGAACACCCGACCTCCGGCTATGCAGCCCAACGCTCTACCACTGAGCTGCACAGTCGCTGAGGGGGTCAATTTGTATACCTTTACACAGAATTCCGCTGTATCCCTGTGTGGTGCTGTGGAAGCTGTATCGCTCTGACAATGTTGAAGAGCTGTTGCTTTTGGGACCTGTGCATGTAGTGTTTGTCGTTTCGTTGGTGGCCTATGAGATGATAAATTTGATGTATATTTCTTAAATTGGCCTGTGTTTATTGTTTTTATTAAATAATTGGTAGGGGTAAGTAAAAAGGAATCGAGGATTGTAGAAATTGTACTTCCCCATCGACGTTAATTAAGCAACTTTCCGAAGATTCGCGGATACAAAGGGAGATATTTGTATACTAATTGGATTTTTCTAATTCATCCTAAAACCAAACCGTGCCTGAAGATTATTCACTACTTGCTCCCAAACCTGGATAGGATTACAGGCCCAGAAGAGTTGGCAGCGTTCCACGAAGTGAGGCATAAGCGCTATCACGATGTTTCCGGGGTCAGGAAAATCACCAATGGAGCAAAAACGCTGGAATACTGAACAAGAATTAAAATGGTATGGTCGAAGGTGAAAAAGATCAAAAATTTTGCCTCCACTACCTTTCAGCGACACTGGATTTGAGATTGGTGGATTGAAGTGCAGTAGTAGTTGGTTCAGATCCATGTTCTGGGATGGATATTTCTAATAATCATATAGTTGGGTGATGAAGCAGCATTGGCTGAATCCCCGAGTAGGAGCATGGAATGTGAGGAGTTTATGGAGGGTAGGTAGATTAGAAAACTTAAAAATGGGCAAGGTTAGATTTAGATATTGTAAGTGGAATGAACAAGGTGACTTTTGGTCAGGAGAGTACAGAGTGGTACACTCAGGTACAGGGAACGGTCACACAGGGGTAGGGTTTGTGCTAAACAAAACGTTAGGCAATAGAATTAAAAGCTGCAGGGTAGTAAGTGATAGGATCCTTGTAGTAGAATAAAAAACAAACCCTACGGCAGGAAAGCGGTTCAGATTTACATGCCAACTTCTGGAAGATGAAGAGGTAGAGCAGGTATACGGAGAACTAGAAACTGCGTTAAAGGGAGTTAGGGTTGAAGAGAATTTAATTATCACAGGAGACTGGAACGCGGTAGTAGGGGAAGCTAGGGAAGACAACATAGTAGGAACCGTACGGTTTAGGAAACAGAAATGAGAGGGGGGACCGGTTAATACAATTTTGCACTAAGAATAGATTAACTATAACTAACACCTGGTTTAACAACCATAGGTGTAGGAGATATACGTGGACAATGCTGGGAGATAAAGAAATAGACTACATTTTAGTGCAAGAGAGATTTAGAAACCTACCCAAGCCACGTGCGGACATAGCTAGTGACCACAATTTAGTTGTGATGCATAGCAGGTTTAAGTTAAAACAGTTGGCCAAACCTAAGAAAGAAGACAGGGTAGATTTAGAAAAGAGAGTAGGGAAACGAACCATGTGAGGAAGTTTTATCAGGCATTAGATCAGGACTGAGGAATGTAGCTGGAGATATGTTAGGAGTAGAAACAAGGATAGCCAGAAAAGATACATATAAAAAATTAAAAAAAAACAAGGTAGATAGGGAATGTAGGTTAGCAAAAGAACAGTGGCTCGAAAGGAAATGCGAATAGAGGCTGAGTTCAATAAAGGTAGGGCGGACGTAGGATATAGGAAAATTAAGAGTGATTTTAGTAAGGCAAGGTCAGAGTTCTGCAGGGTGCAGAAGGCGAAGAACTCATAGAACCTAGGGACAGAGCAGAGAGATGGAAAGAGTACGTTGAACAATTATACAGGCCGGAAGAACCAAACATCTCAAAGGGTTTAGCATACTAAGAGCAGAGTTCGACAAAGCTATAGAGGACCTTAAAGTAGGGAAAGCAACAGGAGCAGATGCAGTATCGGAAAAACTAATAAAATACTCAGGGCCAAAGGTGCAGCAAAGACTCTTTAAACTAACAAATAGGATATAAGAGACAGGGAAGATGCCGGGCGAGGTTAAGAGTAGGAAAAATAACTTACCTGGCTTTTGTAGATTTAAAAAAAGGATTCGATAGGGTCAATTGGAACACTTTACTTAGGATAATGAAAGAGGCACGGCACGGATAGCGTATAAAGATAGGGAGGGTAATTTACAACCTCTACAAGGATCAGAGAGCGGTGATTAATTATCGTAGAGAGTGAGGAGGCAGAGGGGGGTTAGGCAGGGCTGCCGGAAATATTTAACCTTTATATAGAGGAAGCTATAAATAGAGTAAAGCAGGATTTTAACTTAGGGGTCAAAGTGCAGGGCGAAACAATACATATGCTGAGATACGCGGATGGCATAGTAATACTAGCACAAAGGGAAAGGGATCTAGAAACAGGATTAAACGTTATGGAGGGTATACTTGAAAATCAACAAGCAAAAAACAAAGGTAATGAAATGCGCCAAAAGAGAGGATGGGAAAAAATAAAGATCCGAATATGAAACAACACTTTAAGGCATGTAAAGGAATTTTGCCATTTAGGTAGTAAGGTTACACAAGATAATCGTAGCAAGGAAGATATATGATCCAGGATAGCGCAGGCTAAAAAAGCATTTGATCAAAAGCGGCACCTGCTGATACGGGATAAATATAGGAATTAAAAAAAGGCTGCTAAAAACTTTCGATGCGAAACCTGGACGATAGGCAGGAAAGACAAAAGTAGGATAGAAGCATTCGAAATGTGGTGCTATAGAAGGATAGAGCTGGATGGATAGGGTAACAAACGAAGCAGTCTGGGAGAAGACGAGCTAGAATGATAGGGCCCGTGCTCAGCCACGGATTGGTACGGCTAGCTATAGAAGATAGAGGGGGTAGGACGACAGAGGCTTAGATACATGGACCAAATAGTTAGGGACGTAGGCAAGGGTAGTTATGTAGAAGTGAAAAGATTAGTGCAGGATAGGAAAGGGTAGAGGATTGTAGACTCCAAGAAGAAAGGTAAAGTCGTATCGTACACTCCTCCAAAGTCCTCGATGATGACTATAAGAGCGGTGTGGAGGGCAACTTAAACAATGCAACGGGAATGAGAGAATGAACAAGGTCACTGCGCTACCGGTATTGAAGATAATCAATCGTTGCTTCGATCACCATGGAACCAGTTGAGGTCAACCGTACAAAGATATGTAGCATCGTCGCAATGCAGACTCAAAGGTGGTTTTATGTATTCAGTTATAGAATTTTGCGACAATTGGCATTTTTCGTACAAAATTTCATGAAGTAATTACATTAGATGAACACTATTGTCTAAGAGTGTAATCTTTACAGATGCGGCACCCATTCCTTGCAATGACAGCGGAGAAGACGAAATATACCAAAAAATGTTTGCTGATACAGGTGCTATAGTATAAGGTGCACGCTATACTATCTTCCGACTAAATGTACTAACTAAACTAACTTAATGGACTTGCTATGGTGATTTTTACAACGTTAACCATCTAACTGCGATCATCCACAGCAATTAGAACGAGTAATTATCTAAATATATGCATTTGTTTCAGTTCCCACCGCCAGAATTCTCGGTGCCTCCGATTTGTTCGTCGCGAAGGGCAGCACCATTAACTTAACCTGCTCCATTCACTTCAGCAGCGATCCCACAGCGTATATTTTTTGGTATCACGATGACAATGTAGGTATTCTGTATAACCGACCCCTTATTATTGGGCTTAAATCGCGCAATTTAAATTTTAATTCGGACAAAATAAATTGCGACACGACGAAACGGGAATTATAAACTTAACGCGCCTTTGTGCTTTTAGAATATATTTCATTGTCTCGAATCTCTGCACTTTCGTACTTTAGCTCAGTATTCATTCGAATGCTGACCCGACTATAGGATTTTTCCACATCCCCAAGATACCTTTACTCCTACTAGACACCTATTACGCTCCCTAGAGATGCATACATACAAACAAGACCACTTATTTTCGTTATTTTTTTTGCTTGCGTCGCTAGCTTTATTCCACTGAAGGTAGTTTTCCCCCCTTTTCTTTTTATATTTATCAGAAGTTACGTTTAGAATTCCTGCAACTATTCTGATAAGTCTGATAAGATATTTTGTATTCATGACAGCGGCCCAATGTAAACGAAACGTCGTGTGAAGTTGCCGCATAAATAAGGGTCGACATAAACGTGGCGTATTAAGCGAATAATTTAGACGAAAGACGACCGCTAGACCATTTGTCGTATTGATTTTTAGTGTTGTGTGTAACTATTTAAAGTGATCAACATTTAAACAGTGCACTAGTTTATTTATAAGCAGTGTAATTAAGACAAATGCCATCACAATCATCTTTTTTACGCCATTTTAAGTGATTTTATTACGCAGAAGACCCAAATTACGTGTATATTCTATATAAATGTTTTTTTTTAATTTTCCAAATAAAAGAAAAATGTGTGCGCGTAGATGTGTTTCGTGCAGAGATTGGGGAGATTTTGTGAGCGGTACGCCGTCACTCGTACCGATTGTAGACTGGTTCTCCACACGCGCGTAAAGTAATTCAACAAAATGGAGTTTATTCACACGACGTTAATATGTCCTGATTCCAATTCAAGTGTGTTTGTTTTCTTACCTAAGCGGTTTCATTACCCATCAACATGTTTTAAAGAAAGATGAAAATGAGATCAATCATCTTTACACACCGTGTATAGAACTCAACAGCGACTGAAAGCACCTTTGATTAAAGAATAGCCATGAAATCACAAGCGAAGTTTTTGGAAAAAAGGAAATACCTTGAATAACAACAATGAACCGGAAGTCAAAGTCATAAGGGTTGCGGGAAGAACTAACTTCAACTGCAAGTCCGTCAGTTGATGCGTTCGTTGATTTTGGATTCAGATGATATCGATAACATGCGTCATGGCTCGGCGTAATATTACCCAAACTTCCAACGGTAGTGATTAAATTTCGAAAACCAGCACCGGACGTCTTTTTTACACCGGATTTTCAAATAAATCTGTTTGTATCGTGAGAAGTGACCGATCACAGCTGGAAAACAAACAGTGCGTCATATTGAAACGCGGTTTAGCGAGCGACGCTAAATAAAATACTGTGGAAAATGTGAGAAATTTATGTACAATATATACAGGTACGTTGCGGGCTCCGGGCGGCGACAGTGCAGTGTTGTGGTCCTCGGCTGGGCTGATAACGAGTCGGTTGGCTCTGAAGATCAAAGTTGAAACGAAGCGCGATTGAAATCGAACGAATTGTTACGCTCTGTGGTCGGTATTTAAACGCCTGGACTCGCACGCTAGTGGCCAAACAGCGTGGACCAATCAGGCGACGTGGTGGGTTTCTAATTTCCCTACGCTCTTGAGTGGGATGGTTGGAATCCTTTAAAGGGTGACCCAAACCGGCGTAATGCAGTTCCATAAACTAGTATGTCCATGAACTTGGCAGGTCTACTACAGCAGACCATGGTTCTGCTTACTCATATCGTTAGTGTTCCGTTAGTGCACGTTAGTGCCGCTGAAGAAATCGTTAGTGCACAAAAGGAAACTTACTATTTTAAAAAAATATTTGTGGGTCTGCTAACTTCATGCCAGCAGACCCATTTAAGAAAATCGATGCAATCTTTACACTAGTTAAACTAGCAGCGTTAGTGCTCGTTAGTGCCGCCAATATAAACGTTAGTGCTCAAAGTGTAACAGCTGAAAACGTTGTAAAAAGGGGTCTGCTAATTCATGCAGCAGACCCACATTTTGTCAAATTGGCCATGTCCTAATGCGAATTTGAAGCAGCTCGTTAGTGCTCGTTAGTGCTTCACATTCGAACGTTAGTGCTGCAAGAGATCCTCGCCAAAAAGGTACCAAACCACCTCAAAATTAAACTTGACTTATTGGGACCTGCCAACTTCACGCCAGTAGACCAACGAGCGAAATCAGTTTGATTTTCTACTTTAATCGATCAATCAGCATTAGTGATCGTTAGTGTCGCAAAAAAAAGCGTTAGTGCTCAAAGCGCAACAGCTCAAGATGTGAAAATATTGGGATTTTAATCAAGAATTTTAAAGGTTAACCCTGAATCCGAAACTTGGTGGTAAGGGGTCAACTAAATCCATATGGATGTGTTTGAACCTTTTCTTTTTAGCTGAAACTGTCCTAGAAGTGACACTGTATGGCAATGCATTTTAGGCCGCTGGCGGCACGAAAACGTTGGCAGATTAGCTTTGGCCGAGGCTTAGGCTTAGACCTTTTCCTTCCACTCGGCTGAGCGACCAGAAACTGGAAGGTAGTGTCTTCTTTGCTTGTCGCACATAATTTCAAATTCCGGAAAACCAGGTGTAGGTAGCTTGACAGTGTCTTTAAAGATTTGCTGGAGGTCATCGTCTTGAAGCTGATCTTCCGCGAACTTAGAGCTATAGCGCGTCGGCGACGTTATCCTTGCCTGAGATGTGGCGTATGGTGATGGTGAACCAAGAGACAATCGTCGTTGCTGGGGTGTGTTAAGGTACAAGCGTTACTTAGATCGGTCTTGCAATTTCCGAAGAGGGTGGTGATTGCGGTTTGGAAAGCGCGCACGAGGTCTAGTTTCGAAAATATGTTGCACTTGTCCAGGATCTGGGAAACGTCTTGCATGTGCGGGAGTGGTTACCTATCCGGGATTGGTGTCTATGGTCACTGCATGGTCTTCAGGAACCATCCTTTTTTGGCACAAGTAGAAGCGGGCTGGCACCTAGGAGATTGTGAGGGGCGGCAAATACTCAGTTCCAACAGCCATGCGAGGTCAGCAAGTCTCCTAGGTTACAAAGTTGTAGAAGTAATTGGGACGGTTTGAGGTCGCCCAGTTAAACTTCCATCAGCAGTTTTTGCAGGCGTTGCTCTTGGCTGTCCGTGAAACAGGTCGTCAAGACTTGTGCGGTGCCGATGGCTGCATCCGCTGTGTAATATGGCGTCGGATCATTGGTGATACCGGAGATGTGGAATTGCGAACAACAGGTTGGGGTCGTTTTTCCAAAACGGTGGCGGTTTCACTGGGAACCATTCGGTATCTTGGGAGTGGCTTCCGTGTCGATCGTGTGAGCTAAATAAGCGTAGTAGGTAGGTAGGTCGTTTTATTTACAATATTCAGGGTCGCTGATAGGTCTGGAAACGGTCGATTATCGGAGAAAATATACGCGAGGCATTAAAAAAAATTTGTGCAAAAGATTCTTTAATGTCCACTAGGCAGTAGTAATTTTAATTATACAGGATTGGCCATAAACGCGTGGCACACCACTATTGAATTTTTTTGAATGTGACACCCTGTATATTAATGAATTTTAGAATAATAGCGTTTATTTTCAAAACTCGATAACCCGGAAACTATTGAAGGTTCGTTATGCTTATTACAAATCTTGCTTAAAATTGAGAGAAGAATTGAATAATCTACAGGGTGGTCCATTTCAAAAATGCAATTTTGGTGTGCCGCGCCTTTATGGGCAACCTTGTATAATTAAAATTATTACGGCCTAGTAGACATTGAAGGATCCGAACACTTTTGTATAAAACATATTTCGATATCTTGTATATTTCCCCGATAATCGACCGTTGCCAGACAATGTGTTCTTGATGCGAGAGAGCGAGTGGCTTTTGCTAAATGAAAAGGGAAATGCTAGCGTGTTTCGTTCCTCCGACACCCCGAAGGATATCGGAGGCGGGATGCTCAGGGTTTCACCCTCTTCAGCCAGAGAACGGGAATGTAAGGATGGGTAAAGTTAAGGGGTACGTGACCCTAATAAGCCCCCCAGGTTGATCATGAAATTGATAGAAATGGATAGAGGGCACATTAATAACACTTTTTCAATTAACAAATTTGCGGAAGAAACCCTAAATCTGGTGTTATTTTACGTATATTTCGTCATTCTTAAGTTAGCGAAACTGAAAAGTGTTATGTGACATCTTTCTTTATTAAATTTATACAAAGGTGACAGCTAATTTTGATGAATCGCTGCTTAGCATCCACCGCCTTATATGGTCGAGAGGGGAAGGAATATCGCTCGCATTTTCGATGGATCGCCTCTACGACCGATCACCGATTAACTTGGAACGCTATGAATCGCTGCTTAGCATCCACCGCCTTATACAGTCGAGAGGGCAAGGAATATCCCATGTAGAGAACTACTCATTGCTATTATGGTATAATTAAAAACACATGTTTATAGTTGTATATCATTGTTTAACGTTTACTAAATCGTGGAAAAATAACATAACCTCTTAAGAAATTAACGTTGGCATTCAGGAATGTTAACAACACCACTACCAACTGAAAAACAATCATAAAATCTGGAGCAATATAACCTCACTTTTGATGAAAGGAATTGAACTTTTAATTAAGATTGTCAAAAATTTAGGGCTTCTTCTGCAATTTTTGAAATTGTTATTAAAGTGCTCTCTATCCATTTCTATCAATGTCATGATCGTACCTGGGGGGCTTATTAGCGTCACGTAACCAATTTAAGAATGGAAACGGAGGGAGCAGAGTTAGGGTGTTGAGAAAGAAGAATACTGCTCGCCACAGAGGCCATAACCTCAAAAATCAGTTACATTTCCCCCTCATGTTATGAGCTCATTTAAAAAACTGGACCGAGATATTTTACATGGAGAATGAAAAAGAACTAAACACATCTACATACGGTACCACTCGTGAGTAATTTGAAGATCGCCAGCTGCAATATGTACAAAGGGATGACCAATTCGCAACTTAGGCATTCAGCAGTAATGCTTTCAAGAAGGTAGGACCAAATGAATTTGCGTTTGTAAGCGCCTATTAAGTTACAGTGCTGGAGACTGATACCCAATTTTATTATATTATTACATAAGTGTATTGTTAATTAGTTATTGTATTAGAGTTTTGTTTTAAATAAATACTAACAAATTCGCTTAATCCGTTTGTGTCCGTAAATGTTATGTAATGAAATCCCTTCCCAGCAGAGATTGAGTTACGTTACTTTGTTTCATATTCCCCACAACTGGCTTACTGCATTGTAAAGGTCCAGAAAGGCTTAAAATTGTTAATGATTTTTGGATTCATTTGGAAAAATAGCAAAGTCATGGACCTAAAAAAACAACCAAACAATGGATACCAAACGCTGAAAATTGTACGCTCCAGCCGACACGAAGACCAAAACAATAAAATTCGTTTTTGAATGGTGTGTTGACCAATTAAAATTAGGAGATTAGCAACCTATATGTAAAAAACCAACCGCCCGTTACCGAAAATGATCACAATTTACAAAGATTTTGATTACTCCTGCAAGTATTTCCCACCTTTTGAAAACGCGACGACGAAGACAGATTCTCACTATCCCTACCATGCAAGAATAATTACAGTAAAATTGGTTAAACAACTAAGCACGGTAATTGTCACATAAACCAAAATTTAAAGGTATCCGATATTGGTCGAGAAATTGAAATAGCCACATGGGCAAAGTAACTTAAGAACGAATTGAGTAACAAACATTTTTGCTCGCTGACGTTGAGGGCATTTCTGTCGAAATATGTTCGTTTTATAAAAGTTTTATTCTAGTTTTTTTGTGTTACTGCAGCTCAAGGCCACAAGGGAGGTACGTACTATATGTTAGACAATAGTTGGAAATTAACTTCACCTAGGGCTCCGGATTTTGGTGACCCTAGCAGGCGTCAAATATGTATGTTAAATTGGTTAAGGTTATTGGCAATACATGAACATTTCGAAAATGTCAACAAAATTCTAGTACCATATAGAAGCACTTTTGCCAATCGCTCCCCAGACACTTCCTAATCGGTGGTGAAATTTGTTCGATATCGGAGACCAGTGTATATACTTAACACCAATTTAGGCAAGACATCATGCAGCAATCTCGAAAACTATGGATTAAAGTGGATACTGGACGTCCTGGTAATCAACAGACGTGCCGAGTGGGCCCTGCAAGAAGTGACCATAGTTACGTATGAAAGTGACGATAAGTTGGTGAGTGTAGTCTCGCTAGCCAAAGTGACGGTGAACAAATCCAGTGCATGTCACCTTTCAATGATACATACGAAATTTAATTAATTTAGTGATTTTACGTGAAAGTGACAATAATTTAGTGGTAGTATTACATTAATCTCTAATAAAATCACTCCACTAGTACGTGGTTCTTGTATTAGTTATTGAATTTTTTCAAATTAAAACAAAACTAAGTTAGTGAGAGTATTGAACAGTGACAACTTGTAGTTATATGTCAGCAGTGATGACAGTGCGAACACTGGAAAAAGTGATGTGTAATTTTCAAGAACAATCTTTCTATAAAGTAAAAATTCACCTACGACAAGAGGGTTTCATTACATTCGTATGTTACATAGGTCTTCAAACTGTGTTAATCAATTATTGTACGTGAGCTATGGTTAAATAAATATAAAGTATATAATGTCTTTGATGTAGCATGAGACCTTTGGTGTAAAATAAATTAGTTTTCTTTTACGCTTTTTTTAAATGTTTCCTTAATGTACCCCACTGAACCGCGTACGTCACGGGCATAAGCTTCGCATTAGCAGCAAACCTCGGCTCGCAGGACGTAGCATTAATTAATGAAAATGTGAATTTTCAGGTGATCAGTTACGATTCAAGTCGCGGTGGCGTAAGCGTCATCACTGAAAAAGGTGACATTACAACGAGCGTACTTCTCATTCAAAATGCGAACTGGAGGGATTCGGGAAGATATTCGTGCAGCCCCTCGAATGCAGATGTGGCGAGTGTAAGGGTTCATGTGCTAAATGGTAAGCTCATTACTCCAATATACGCAGATTAGATTGACAAGTAGGTATATGGGATTCCCTTTGTGCTTCATTTATTTCCACTTGCATTATCTATCGTCACCGTAATTACTGTGATTGATTTTCCTTGTTGGCGTTATCTCAGCTTCCGCTAGCTCGTTGATGCTAAATTACATAAATGTCTATTAATTAAATATCGCTTTCCAAAGTTTAGCATTCAACGATGATATTAGTTACTATTACAATGAAACTGTGAATATATTGTACCCACATTCACCTAGAATTTATTATATAATAATACTCTGGACACAAAGTACCTTCATAATACCAAGCGGATAATAAATGCACTGCAGTTGCACATTATGGATTATATTATATTTTTAGTCATCCACAAAGGCAGATAATGGTATAGGGCGAGGTAATGAAACGCCACTTTGAGGACACGTTTGCGATGGTTCAGAGGTTAAAGATCAGTTTTGTCACTATATATCATTCAGGTTTTACTTTTACCAGCGTCACTTGGTTTTGCAGTTTAAATTTTTCGAATTATATACATAGGCAACAGGTACCGCTTCATATAGATAGTAGGCGCGAGGTTGCTTATTAGCGATAAACCGGCGCATTGGATTGGCTGAAAGGGGACGCTGTTCACAAGATTTACGTTGGGTCTGTTTCGGGTTTTCTACGGTCGATCAATAGAGGCAGATAGCGTGTCGGTCTTCCGCGGTTACGAAACGCTAACCAAGGAGAGCAGATCTTCCAGTTAATAAACCACAGAAGTTCTACAATGCTCGTATAATGTTGGGCGCCAGGTATAGACAAAAACACAAAAATGAATACTAAACATGAAATAGCACTGGCGGGTCTTCGCAAAGAACGGTAGGTACACGTTTAATATTTAATTGCATAATAAAACAAATAAATTTGCAATTCGGATTGAGGCGAATTAACTGCGAATTCTGAAGACAGCTGTCATTTACAAAATTTAACTTAATCTAATCTTCTTGGCAGTCGGAAAGATTGATAAATGAACTATCTAAGTTACTTATTACCACGTGCTAACATTAACCAAAAAGGTAAAAAGTAATCGTAAACGATTTACATAAAGCGCATTTCCACTTGCATTCATTTCCCATTTGTAAGATGCAACTTCTGTTAAAATCGTAAAAATCCGGCCACAAATATGAAAGATAGCGTTGCACATGGGCAATCCATTGTTGACGTGCTACTTCAATTTCAGTTTATGAGAAGAATTTCATTTCAATGCTTTTCTAAATAAGAAAGTTGGAACTGCGCATGCGCAAACCTAAATTTTAAAACTAATGTTAGATTTTTCTTTGTTCCAAGCGCCTAAGTATCAAATTTCACTTAAATTCTTCCATAAATAAAAAAGTTGGCACTGCGATGCGCAAAACCAAATTTTGAAATTGGCGTCTGATTTTCCTTTATCCCAAGTGCCTATGTATCAAATTTCGTTTAAATTCTTCCATAAATAAAAAAGTTGGCACTGCGCATGCGCAAAACCAAATTTTGAAATTGGCCTTTGATTTTCCTTTATCCCAAGTGCCTATGTATCAAATTTCGTTTAAATTCTTCCATAAATAAAAAAGTTGGCACTGCGCATGCGCAAAACCAAATTTTGAAATTGGCGTTTGATTATCCTTTATTCCAAGTGCCTATGTATCAAATTTCATTCAAAATACTTTTATAAGTAAAAAAGTTTGCAATTCGGTTTATAAATAGTCGAGATGCGAAAAGGGCACTGTGAATTTTGAATCGATTCGATCCAACTTTTGGCATTGCGTATTATATGGCTAAATCTATGCCCATATTGAATTTCATGCAATTCAGTTTCATAACTAACGGAGATGTAAAAGCGATCGAACATTTCTAAACAAAGTTATCGTTCACACGGACAGATAGATGGACAGACAGACAAAGGAACAGACGAACAGACCAACAGGCAGACGACAGATAGCAATGCAAAATTATAAACGATCTCTAGGATCGTTAATAAACGGCAAAAGTGTAAAATTATGGAACATGTAAAAAAAACGGTTTTTTGTTTTTTTTACAATAACTTTTTTTGTAAGCGGTACAGAAANTAAATCTATGCCCATATTGAATTTCATGCAATTCAGTTCATAACTAACGGAGATGTAAAAGCGATCGGACATTTCTAAACCAAGTTATCGTTCACACGGACAGATAGATGGACAGACAGACAAAGGAACAGACGGAGAGACCAACCGGCAGGCGACAGATAGCAATGCAAAATTATAAACGATTTCTAGGATCGTTAATAAACGGCAAAAGTGTAAAATTATGGAACATGTAAAAAACGGTTTTTTGTTTTTTTTACAATAACTTTTTTTGTAAGCGGTACAGAAAAAATTTCTTCCTTGGTACAAGACTCGACACCATAACGAACCAAATAGCGAAAAAAGTAGAACAATAGCTCTTAAGATAAAAAACTAGTAGCATCGCAAAGTTAGCGGACGGACGGACGGACGGACGGACAAAGTGGCCACAATAGCGCATTTTTTTTTATTTTTGTGGAAATGCCGCTAAAAAAAGGTAAAGATAAATGACAAGAAACTTTACAGTTAATGGAGTGTCTGACTGAATGCGCCTCTGAAATTGGAAATTCCAAAGCCATCCAGTTAATATTACCGAATTTATATATTGCTACTGTGACCCAAACATTTGGGCCGCATTAAAAGATAAATGCAACGTCCCACGTTGAGTGCCAAATAAAATTATTGTGTGGAATGGCCCGGACAAAATTAACCATACACAAAACTACCTAGATCTTTTATAAAATTTCTCTCATTCCCGGTGCAATAAAAACATTTCAAACTCGACTTCAAATGCCATATTCTAAAGCAAACAATGGCCGCGGTCACCAAAAAGATTACTTACACAAATTTTAAAGACACCTGAAATAAACTTTGGGTACGCATCAACAAAATTGATCATAATTAAGCATGAGACATTTATCTGGATTGTTAAAGGGTTCGAATAAACACGCGATTTACATGATTCCACACAAACAAATCAAATGAATCACAAAATCCTAATAATAAAAAAAATGGACCACAATAAGGTCCGTCTACACACCCCGCATAAGCGTTCAATAATAATTAAAAAAGAAATGGAATCTTAAAATCCGAGCACACAAACCACTAATTCTGAAGTGGCCAGCCAACCACGACAGAGGAATCGAAGGAACAGTGGACGACAACTTCAATGAAAAACTACTACACCCAAACGCTTTCTCAAAACTTCCACTTGAACTCGGCTGGTTTTCTGATTATGATGAACAAAACGAAACTTACCCAGGAGGGGCGTCTACTAGGCTTTCAACGACCAGTAACTTGATCTCAAAATTGCCAAAAGGCCCCATTCTTAAGCCAATTCCAATGATCTAATTAAATAACCCGAATACCACTCAGAACTCCGTTGCTTGACGCTCCGGTAGTCATGTAGGCATCAAAATTGTACGCGGAAATGTCTTATCTCAGGACAAAATCTACGAAAACACAATTCTTTGGCAATTAAGCGTATTCTTATCGCTAAAGCTGGTTTTACATCAACAATAATTTGGTCAATTCGCTTTGACAAGAAAACTTGACGAGTGTAAACACAGAATTGGATGCAATAACTTGATCAATTTCTTGAGCTCAATTTCTTGTCGGTTTAGCGCAAGTTCTATTTTTCTGGCAATTTCTACAATTCAGTAGTACCAACTACCATCAACCAACATAAATAATCAAGATGATTAAGATGTTTTCATCACTTTTATGAGCGATAAATATAGCTAATCTAACGATCTTTCTTTTTCTATTCCGTAATCTTCTATTCAAAACAGAGGGAAACATTTTTACACTTTTCACTTTTTTTCTGTACAATAAAAAAAAATGACAACCTAAACTTAAAATAATTAAAGGTTTGGAAAATTGTACAATAACTTTAAAGCAACAAGAAATTGATCAAACAGCAGTGTAAATCCAAGGAACTTGAGAAAGAAATTGCTCAATAAATTGACAAACAACTTCATGAGGTAATTGATGAAGAAATTGTTGATGTAACACTAGCTTACATTAACCGTTTATAAAAGTAATCAAAGTGCCCATATATTAAACTAGACCTGTCACATACGATTATGACATGTTTTAATTTAAATACTTATCTTTCTTTTACTTATATCCCAATCCAAAGTACATTTATTAATAATTTGATTTTGGTCTGATATTGGTATTGTTGTTTTTTGGATGTATCTTTTTATGTGCGTAACGAGCATTGGGGTGACCGTATTACAGAAGTATCCTTGTCTTGGATGAAATGCCCGCACTCATTTTCATAGTTTTTTGCATGTACTTTTATGTACTGAGCATTACAACGGCTCTATCGATGAAATACCGTTGTCTTATGAAATGCTAAAACGAGTTCATGAACCTATGATAGACTTTTTTAATGCGACTACCCCAATGCTTGTTACGTACCCAAAAACATACATAAAAAAACAATACTAATATCAGACTACAAATTCATTCAAACCTACGTACCCATTAATAAATGGGTTTCGGATTGCGACATAGGTAAAGGAAAGATAGGTGATTAGATTAAAACACGAAGACATCTCTTCCAATTATACTAACATAGTTAGTAGCGTTGACCTATCATCTGATCACACACCAGTCATTGCTACAATTAGCACAACGATTATTAAAAGGCAACCTAGACCATCGCTGTACAACAGTAAAACGAACTGGGAAACATATAGAAGTCTTCTGCAACAGAAAATACAAACCAATATCAGCCTACATACCCAACATGAAATTGAGGAAGCCACCAACCATTTTATTACTACTGTGCAATATGCAGCCTGGCACTCAACGCCTAAAATAACAAAAGCGGTTCGTGAAGATGTAAATATCCCCAACGCAATACTTGATCTCATAAGGCAGAAGAGAAGGGCAAGATCGAAATGGCACAGGACG